CTGGCATCTCTCAGCATTTCCCCAGAGGGGCACTGTCTGGGGACGTGGCTTCGTGTGTGTGTGGGAAATGAGCCTTGAGCAGGCTGAACATTCCCTCTCCTTCCTCCTGAGCCATGGGTGGCTGCCTGCTGCTGTCCCAGCACCACAGGCACTGAGGTTTGGTGACAAGGAGAGCTGCGTGGGGGAATGCAGAGGTCAATAAAAGCTTCCTGGCTGTGATAGGCTCCAGGTGCTCCGTCTGCCCACCAAGGCCCCCTCCCCACCGAAGCTCTTAGTTCATTCAGGCCAAGCCCTTGGTGTTGTTCTGTGTTTGTTCTTAGGTTTTCTGTCTGTCCTGGCTTCAAAGGAGTCCACCCCTCCGCCTCCCTGGCCACAGTCGAGTGACTGTCCTCATCACATCTGAGCGGGTCCCCTGATTTCACCCTTGTCTCCCAGACTCTTTTCAATAAATACTGCAGCCATTCTTGTGCTTCCAAAATTCAGGTCAGATTGTGTAGCCCCAGGTCCCCACTCTGACCCTTGTTACCATAAAAGGGCTCACTGTCTGATGTGCACAGAAGCCAATGCTGTGGCACCAGTTTTGAGAAAAGAAAGGCTTTATTTTGTGAGGTTGACGGCAAGGAGATGGGAGGCAAGGCGCTCTCAGATCTGTCTCCTCCGCTCAGGGGCTGTGCAGGCTTTAAGGGGTATTAGGCAAACCTGATCGTCTAGCTCCAAGTCAGGCCATCTGTGGTGATGCTGGATCTTCCTCCCTGAGGGACCTCTCCCTTCCAAAAGGGCTCCGGTGTTTCAACTTTTGACGTTTGAGTTCCACAGATGGAAGTTTTTTGGTTGCTGTGGTGCTCAAGGTCATCTGGAGGGCAAGGTCTTTGTCTCTGTGTATGCTCAGTTTATATTACGAAAGACAACTCGTAAAACAGCTTGAGATAGGGAAAATAATCCAGTTCAACTAATTTTAGGTAGTTTCAACCTGGGCTCCCTTAACTCTGAGGTCACCTCCTATGCTCTCTTTGTGCCCACATGTCCCTGCAGCCCCACAGGCCTCTCTGACGCTCTTCCAACAACGCAGGCAGAAACATCTTGTCAGAGACCCTACCCTGCTGGGCCAGATGACTTGGGCTCTGTCCTCTGCACAGCTCCACATTCCTCTTCCTCCAGCTCTGCTCAATGTCATTGATGCAGAGCGTCCTTCCCTGTCCCCAGCCCACCCAGCTCCAATCCTTCACCTCCATTTTTCTTCCAACAGCACGGCTACCAACAGGATCATTGCACGTCTGCATGTTCGTTTTCTGGCCTCTTCTGGGAGCGTGCGAGCCCTGTGATATCACGGCTGGTTGTTTTCTTCGCTGCTGCTTCTCTAGAGTCCAGGACAGGGCCTGGCACATAGCAGGGGTCAACTGCCGTTTTGCGAATAAAATAATATTACTTTCCCGAATGTCCTGGATTTTTATAAGCAGCTGTAACATTATTGTATTTTTTTTTTTTCTTACAGAACATTTTGAAAACAAGTAGTAAAGCACTGTTAAGTGTCAATGGGAAAACACAAGCCCCTCCGGACTGGGATAATAGTGCTGACAGGTATGTCAATGAACCACGGCCAGATCATGCTTTTCTAAACATGCAAATGACACGAGACTCATGAAGAAGTGCCCAGATATCAGAGTCAAGGCTTGTTTCTACACAGGCCAGGGGTTAGTTAGAAAATGCAGCTCTTAACATGGTGGAAAAAGAATGGTATTTGGAAGGTAATTTGCAGGATCAGACCAGGTAGAATGACAAACTTCACTCCAAATGTTAGGAGCCATTCAAGGTGGTGCCATCCCAGAACCATCTCCATCACTACTGTAAACTCTGGGAATGATCGCAGTGAGCCTTAGCTGGGTACAAGTACGAGATGCAGTGATGAGTGGCTGTTTCATGGGTCTGTGGCACGTAGACTTTAAAGCAATAGCATTAGGTGAAATGTGAGGGCATTATGCTTTGTGAAATAAGGCAGTCACAGAAAGACAAATACTGTGGGATTCTACTTACACGAGGTACTGGAGCAGCCACATTCATAGAGACAGAAAGTAGAATGTGGGTGCCAGGGCTGGGGGAGGGGTAATGGGGAGTT